ACTAAGCCCTACACATAATGATGACTCTTTGTGTGTGCAGATCAGGTATAGCAAAGAAACAGGGACCCTGTGTATCTTTGTTAAATGTATGAGGACAATGCATTTTGACTGTGTGTACATGTGGATTTCCTGGCTCTGCACTGTGGACATAGGAATAGGATGGGAGGCTGAACAAGGAGGAGTTGAAGGATCAAACAGTAACACCAACAGTGACAACATGATTTCCATGGGACTGCAGAACTGGGAAATAAGCATATCCTACTGCCTGTCACTGGCCAAAGGGTAACTGCAAGGTTTCTCTCTTGTATGTTATATTCCAGGAGGAACACTATAGCAAGAAGACAACCATCATCTCTGACCAATAACAGACAAAGTTCAGGAGTTCTTCCCTTTCCCATTTTAAAAAAGAAGACTTGACCTAAATACAATTAAAATACCAGAATTTATTTGATTCTGGAAGCTGAGTTAGGCCAAGTTAGTGGGGAAAGGGGACCGACAAGGGATACAAGACTGTACAGGCAGTTTTTCACAAGAAGGCATAGGCAAATCACCTCTTGAGTATTCCCTATAAAATTCATGATGTGACTGGAGATTAACAGGCAAATTGAAGATATATGCACGGACTTCCCAAGTTGTTCCTTGAAAGGAAGAATGTTTTAGCACCATCCATTGGTCAGAGGACTAAGAGCTCTGCAGTTGTTGCAATTATGTATTATTGCATGTTACAATTGTTAGGTTTCATTCCTGGACTGACTAAGTGTCTTGTGTCATCAAGCTTCCAGACCTCAATGAGTAGATAGACTAGAGATAGGATTTGACTGAGGGATTCGTGTCCCCCCCCCCCCAAACATTTCTATGCATGCTTTTCCCAGAAAGGGCTTTGTCTTTCTTCCTCCTGCCAGTTTTTGAATATGTGGGAATGGAATTATGTGTGGGAACTTCCTCTTTTAAGTTTAATTGCCCTGGGTTGAACATGTGGTCTCTGCCATTGTCTCTGCTGCCTTTTCTTCCTTCCAGTAAGGACACATTTTGCCTCTCTCTTGAGGCAAAATGTAGCTGCATGGATATTTTTTTACTTTTTTACCTTTTATCTTTCATAGAAGATTAGATTTAATAAACTGGTGAGCTCCAAGACCTTTTTTAAAATCTAGAATATATTTTTTACTTCAATAAATATTTTTTAACCTAAAGTTCTGACTCTGCACTCCTGTGCCATCCTATAGTGTGAAAGCTTATCCTAGTTCACCACATGTAAGTTTCTGCTGGTTATGAAGTTTATTTCTGGTTCTCTGCTATATTCATGGTGGAATCACCCCAGTTGAGGGTTATTTTTGAGCCTAACAGCTCAGATTCCCCAACAGTTCCTTGAAAGGAAGAATGTTTAAGCATCATCCATTGGTCAGAGGACTAAGAGTTCTGCCGTTGCTGCAATTATTGCATGTTGCAAGCCATTTGAGAATTACTTGCTGGAAGGTGCATTTATAGATTTCTAAAACTGAAATAAAAAGGACTGCTGGAGACTGCAAGTAAAAACAGTATATGTTTTGTAAGCAGCACATTTAGATTAGGTTTGCTCAACTATATCATCTGGAAGGGATGCTATTTCTTACAGAAGAATCCACCTTGTTTGTGTGAGACTTCTGTCACCAAGGAAACAGCAAAGGAGAAAAGTTCATCATTTTAAAACAAAGTGTGTGGGTCAGTGTCATATTTACTAGTTACACAACATTCCTAGAGTTGGAGTTCACATAAAATAAGAACACTATTGTCAGCATTTGCAAAGCATGATGATTATACTATGTAACACAATTTTTGTTCCTGGGTTATAAATGTCATTTCCTAATTTGTTCTATCATAAAAAACATGGGAGAAGTTTATTGAACTGCAAAAAACTTTGTTTTTGTGGGACATCCTGCAACACATTTTGCTATAGTTTTTCAATGAGTATCTCACAGAGTCTCAACCAATTTAGCATACAGTGGTTTGTGGAAGCCACAAAAATGAAGTTTCTGGAGTATAGCAAGTACTTTCAAATAAAAAACCACACAATTAAAATGAAAATAAATTTCAAACCAGGAACAGAAATCAATCAAATTTTACTTCATACTGTTCTGTTGTTCTCCTATGGTGGAAGCAATGAGTAAAAGAGCGTATTTCCTATGAGGAACTTTGAAAACTGGGTTCCTCAACTATGTGGAGAGTACGCATTGGATAAGATTTCATTTTGAGAGTTGTTCTGCACAGAAGTACTTACGGTAAATGAAATTGTAGACAGAAGCATGTAATTTTTAGCCATTTATTCCTCACTTTAAGAACATAGTTGAAAACTGAAATTTGCAATTAGAGACTTACTCTGGCTGTTTTTTTGGGGGGGGGGGGCGGTGGTTTCAAAAAACAGTATTTATGTGCTGAAAATAGTATTTCTGTGCAGAAAAGGTTTTTTTGTGCAGAAAAATGCTGTTTTCTGTGCAAAAACATACACATATAACTGTATAGAGTAAGTCCTGAGATGTAAAGATTCTTATCAGTTTAGCATTCCTCTTTTTAGGGATTTTTTTTGGAAGGTCACTTTTTAAACCATGTTTTGAAATTTTTATTGTATGCTTCCCATCCCCAATATTGACTCAACACCCTTTGAAAATGATATTTGTTATTAGCCGCCCCCCCCCATTTTAGATTCATACATGCACTTTAAACTGTAAGTTTAGTCTGTTTTATTATTTTAATTTGTCTCTTTTATAACATGTTTTTAATCTGCTTTTATACCTGACCTACTTGGGAACTGCGATTCCCTTACTTGGGCACCGGTGCCCCATTCTCTACTGTGCTGGTCAAAGACCGTAATAAATCATTGATTGATTGATTGATTGACTCAACAATCCTTTGAAAATGAGTAAATTGGGCTACAGCCCCCCAGAAAGATATAAACATTTCTGATTATCATCTTCTTCATTATAGAAAATATTATTATATACTAACAAGAACACAATTGGAAGTCATGACTACATCTTTCAACAGGTACAAGGCCATCAAATGATGAGGGCAGATGGTTCATTCCTGAGAGCTGCTGCCATCAACCCAACAAAAAGTTATCTGTAAGAGTGGGTTGCCAGCATCTGCTGATCTCAGTCAATTCACATGATGCCCACAAATTATGTGGGGACTATAACAACTCCTGCTTGTCTTGCAGCAACCCAAACAAACAGGTACAACTTACAAAGTTGGCATAGTCTAAATCAGGGGTTCTCAAATTTTTTCAGCTGTGGAGCCCTTTTTTTAAACAAAAGTTTATTGTGGAACCCACTCAAATTTTTATAATATATATCAGGCATGGGCAAACCTTTGAACACGGGGGCCTCATTATGTTTTAAAATTTGACAGATAGGCTGGGCCAGTGGCAGATGGATGGAGAGTTTTTACAAAATGGACAAATTCTTATACACACTTTAACACATCTCATTTGTAGTGCAAAAAAGAAAAAAACAATGAACAATACAATATTTAAAATGAAGAACAATTTCAACCAACTTGAACATAATAGTATTTCAGTGGAAGACCCCAGGGGCCATCTGGTCAAACCCTCCTCTGCCATGCAGGAAAAGCATAATCAAAGCACCCCATGAGTGATGGGAAGGAAATAGGGCTTTGGAAGTAAAGAAGCCCGGGGGGGGGGGGGGTCTGGGTGGCCAGAAAATAATGTGGGTGGCAAGGGAGGTGGGGTAAAGGGTCTAGACAGAAAGGAGTCTCAGCAATGAAGGAGGCATTGGGAGGACACTGCTGCTGCTGTTTCAGCAGCTCCAAACTTTGATTTCCCTGCATTCTCAGGAAGAAGAGGAGGTGTAAGGCAGCATGGCACCATGGAGCCCCTTACTATCACTTGTGGAACCCCAAGGGCTCCAATGAGCACAGTTTGAGAACCCCTGGTCTAAACCATTGAATACAACATCATGTCTTTGTTTATTTTTCCCAAAGAGGTTTCAGAAGTTTGTCTGAGCTTGTACTTTAGCAGAGGTTTCCAAAATATTTCCCAGATTTTAGAACATTTCTCTTTAAAAATTTCAAATTTGTTTACATCCAAGATACATATTTTAACTTTAAGACAGAGTGCTACAAAGCTGTCTTAAAGTTACCACAAGCAAATCCACAGATGCACACATCTACTTTTTATATATTCCAAAAATTATGAGATCTTGCTGCTGCTTGGATTACAAGTTGGAAATATTACTCTTTTGGATTACAACTTCTAGCTCTATTCACTCAGTGAACATGCCTGTTATCTGTGCTGAGTGATGGATTCTAGGACTTGTGTTTTGAAAAATATTTTTTCCAAGTTTTTGTTAAGCGTGATCAAAATCAATCGAGTGGTTTATACATGTGTATATATCATAAACATTGTGAAGAAATGCTTCAACCACTACCTAAATTGTTTTAACAATGAGGGGAATAGAATTTTTGGACAGAAAAAGATGCTGATTTTCTGAAGGTATACATGCATATTTCCTCATCTGTAGCAACACTTAGGTACAGCTCCTTGTTTTTGGAGCAAGACCACAGGATTTGAAGGTCCAAGATGAGCAAATGTATTACCTTCTTCTTGCTGATTATAAAAGCTTAACCATCTGAAGTGCTATTCGGTTATTCATTCAGGTATTCTTAAGAGATATGTAAAGAAGGGTAATACACCAGCACGGCTCTTCAAGTCAGGACAGAAACAGCCCAGGAAAGTCATATGAAGGATCTCAATACAATAACTGATCTTCACTTTTCAAGAATCTGCATAACCTCCAAAAACAGTGGAAGGTCTCCTTTTCAGCTGGTTGCTCTTCATGAGAAGGTACGAACCACAAATTGCATTCATCAAAGTGTGACACCCCGCCTTCATACTTTCATTACGAGTGTCTGAAAGAGAGCTAATATCACTCCCACTTTAAGATCTCCCAACCTCAAAACCACTTAAGCTTGATTGAAAATGTAAATAGATTAGAAACAAAGTTACTCACCATGGAAGAGTCACCGCCTCCATTTGCAAGCGTAGCTCCCTCAGCACAGGTGGGTAGGTGGGTAGAAAGTTGACTAGCCCTGCCCCCATCTATGACATCACACTCTACCTCATAAAAGGTAGTGAAAGTGCTCTGAACTCCAGTCTGATTTCCGAGAGATACAGAAAAGAGAGAGTGAGAGAGAGAGCAAGAGAAATATTGTGCCCTATTGTAGAGGGGAAGGAGAGAAGGGCCAGGGAAGGACAGGGGCATGTGTGCTGAAAGAGCTAGGCTCTGGAAAAGCAGCCAGGGATCCTTTGGGGAGAGAAGTAACCCTGCTTTGCTATTTCCCTCTCTTGCTCCCTTAGCACAGGTAAGCCAAGGAACAGTGAAGGTGTGTTTTGGCTCTAACTTGAAAGTGAGTTAGGGAACATCCAGGTGCTGTATTAAAAGCTGACTGTGTGAAAAGGGAAGAGAAGGATTGGGAAGACTCTGTAACAGCAGTAGGTAACCTGCTTGGCCATAAATAGAGTCCAAAATAAGAGATAGCATCGCTGTGGCTCACACTACTAGTGTCTTTTGGTATGTTTCAAGTAACAAGATGGTGTTGGAAAACTTGTTTAGGAATGTATGTAGTTGTACTAATATTGCATGAGATTAGTACTGACATGGTTCCTATATTTAGTTTAAAATCTTGTTGAATTTTGATGACTCTCAAGTGTGTGAGTGTATCAGAGCTGAATGAGACTTATGCTTATGGGATGTGTGACACTGCTTGGTTTCCATAACACCCAAAGATAACCTTGTTTGTAAGAAAGGGTATTATCTCCTATGGTTTTTTCCCCCTAAAGCTGAGATGTGGCTTTTGTTGGACTGTGCTGAGGGAGAAAGTGAATGGTATATACTGATTTATAAAGCACACGTCAGATGTCCAGGAGATGAGAACAAAACGAGATAGAGGTAACCACTCATTTTAGTCTAGAAGTTAGGTCCAGTGACACTTTTTTCTAGGATAAAACAAAATTTTCCCAAGAAATATACAGTTCCTAATAAACTGAATGGAAGTCAGAAAACATTTTTAAAGAGAAATCCTTCAACGGAAATAGAATGAATAGCTGGAGCACTGTATTTTATGGGGCAATATTATTGGGAGGATAGTGAAAGAAGGATTCGGGGCTATGACCTGTTTTTCATTGAACCCTAAGAGCTATTAGGTATAATTCTGATTTTGATTCAGGGGAATGATTTCTTACAAGGAAAACTCATTCAAAGAAACTCTGAGAAAAGAGAAGTGTAAGTGGATTCACCTATAATTTCCTATTGTTGCGATGACACTCCATATGAGATCCACTGTTGTAACCACTTTCATTTTTAGGGTTGTATAACACCTAGTAATATTGATACCAACAACATTAATAATAATGGTATTGTATTTTCCACTCTTTGTTGTGTTTTGAATATCTTTTAAACTGTCTTAATTGCTTTTAATAAATTATTATTATAGTAACATGGTTTTAGATTAGTTAATGTTGTAAGCTACTTACACTAGCTGAGATGCATAAGTAAAACACTCAACAAAATTATATTTATTTATTATTATACCATATTTTAATTCATGATTAATTCAGTTTTTGCATGCTTATTGTGAAACAGTATTGCGTTTCCCGCAATATTGCCCCGGAGTGTGGTGGAAGCTCCTTCTTTGGAAGCTTTTAAACGGGCTGGATGGCCATCTGTCAGGGGTGATTTGAATGCAATATTCCTGCTTCTTGGCAGAATGGGGTTGGACTGGATGGCCCATGAGGTCTCTTCCAACTCTTTGATTCTATGATTCTATGATTTTTGAAAAATACAATGGCCTATGACAATGAGGGGCAACCTTTTGAGCTTGGTGTGTCAATACTTGCCAAAAAAACTGAGCATAACTCGGGTGGGGTGTCACTTTGAGAAAAAAAAACACCATAATTTCATTATATTTATAGTTTAATAACAAAAATATATTATTGTAATATATAACTGTATTTAATAAACCAAAAACTAATTATTTAACTTACCTGCTTTTTCTATAATTCCCATATATCTCGGCATTATAGAAAAATGCTGGTGTAGGAGCCGAGGATGAAATTTCCTTCTTGGGATGTGGCCCCATCTTCTCTGTATGCGGCCGCATGCGACCGTGTGTCATCGAAAATGCGTGTCAGTGCTGACACACGTGTCATAGGTTCGCCATCATGGGCCTATGAGATAGTTTCATTGGGAGCCTCCGAGTTTTTTGATACAGGTTGCATATCCCTTATCCTAAACACTTTGGGCCAGAAATGTTTTGGATTTTTAAAAAAATTAATTTCTGGTTTTGGACTAACTGTATTTGCATATATATTCATAATGAGATATCCTGGAGACGAGACCAAAGTTTAAATGCAAAATACATTTATGTTTCTATCACATAGAATGATAGAATCCTTGAGTTGGAAGAGACCTCATGGGCCATCCAGTCTAACCCCCTGCCAAGAAGCAGGAAAATCTCATTCAAATAACCTGAATGTAATTGTATTCAATATTTTCAATAATTTTTGCATGAAACAAGGTTTGACTACATTAAACCACCAAAAAGCAAAGTTTTCCGTATCTCAGTCTCCCATGTGGACAATTTTGGATTCTGAAGTATTTCTGATTTTGAAAATTCTGGATAAAGGGTGCTAATACCTATTTATCAACTCATTTAATTTTTGCAATATAAAAAGTTTATTTTAATTTGAGAAAATCATATTTATCTTGATCAGCACTCTACATTGTACTCACAAGATAATTTACTGGATAAACATGTTTCTCATTCACTCTGGCATTTCAATAGGATAAATTAAATTATGTTTTAATATTGTTTCTTTTCTGTTGTTATGGAGAATTTATCATGTACACTATACATGGATCCTCCCTAAAGAGATTTTATGAAGGGCAGTAAATGCGTAAGTGGGTGTATGCTCAATTTTGTTGTTTATAACCTGCACATAACCTCAATGGTTATACAATTACTTGTCTTGTTACTATTCATCAATTTATATTTTCCTAAAAAATAATAGCATCATTTATTTATCTTTATTGCAACTAAATTTATTGTTACTACTGTTTATTGCACAGGCAATAAGAAGAATCTGTCTCACTTAACCTGAAGAATCACAGATTGTACAGAGCAAAACACACTGATATAAACCCAGTGAAATCAATGGGGATATGCTGTTTATATAGCTTTTCCAGGAGTGTTTGGCTTGAATATTTGGATAGTTGTTGGTCATAATGGATTCTGCAGGATTACTCAAATTGTTAGGTTGTGATATGGAGAAGAATGGCAATAACACAAAAGATGTACAGCATTACAATACAAAATCAAGGAGACATGGGATAAATTCAGATTTAGGGAATCAAAATATTAATCATCTGGATACAGTAACACTCTTGTATCTACAAGAGATATGTTCCCTGGTGGGCTGTGATTACCTAATGCTGCAGTTATAACAAAAAAAGCAATAAATTAACTTCTTTCTGGTACTAGCCTATCATAAAGATTTATTGGTGGATCTGGAGATTTCCAGAGAGGTATCTTTTAGGCTTGGGCGGTTTCATTCATTAATTTCGTAATTCGTTATTAATTCGTATTTAAATTAGCTTACGATCCAATATTGAGCCATGCAGGAATAGTGTGAGGAGTAAATTAGATTCGAAACAATTTTTTTCAATTTATTTCATAATTATTTCGTAATTATTTTGTAATAATTTCGTAATTATTTTGTAATAATTTCGTAATTATTTTGGCATGTCAGGTGCAAGTTTTATAGTTGTTGTTTGTTTTATCACACCCACAGTCAACAACAGAGGGAGAGGGAAGCTTCAGAAGTTCCCCCTGTCCCATTTGGAGGTTTTTTTAGCATATTGCGCAATCGCGTCCACCATTAACGAATCGATTCGTAATTTTACGAAATTTCGTATATTTTGAAATTTTTAAAAGGAAAATTTCAGAATTATTAAAAAAAATGAAACACAAGAGCCCCGTAAAAACAAAACGAGTTTAGAACCAAATTTTTCCATGGTTACCCAAGCCTAGTATCTTTCAAGGAATTTGCAAGGTCCTCCAACACTACTCCGTGGAATCCCTTGGAGAACCTAGCAAATTCCTAATAAGACTTTTTTCCCCCCATAGATGAAGATAAGTCAAACCAAGAATATGAGGTCTATGGTTTAAGGGGCTGTTATAGTATTTCATAAAAGTTATATTTAAGTATAAGGGAACAGAAGACAAGCAGATCAAATTCTTGCTTAGGTATAGCATGAATTCTCCTGCCCGTTGTCCACTTCTAAAAGAGGAAGATGGGAGTTCACAGACTGTCATGGTAGTATTTTATGTAATACGTTTAACACTGATGTGCATGAAACAATGTTTGTGTAGACCAGCGGTCGGGAACCTATGGCTCTCCAGGTGTGGTGGACTTCAACTCCCACAATGCCTTGAGGCTCGGCACTAGCGGGCGGGGCCGAAGCGGCGAGGAGGCGCGTTGCCCGCAGGGGTTTCCGCCCGCTCTCTCCCTCCGAGGCCAGCCTTTGCTGCCTGTCCTCCATGAAAAAGAGCCTCTTTTTCATGGAGGACGGGCAGCAAAGGCTGGCCTCGGAGGGAGAGAGCGGGCGGAAACCCCTGCGGGCAACGCGCCTCCTCGCCGCTTCGGCCCTGCCCGCTAGTGCCGAGCCTCAAGGCATTGTGGGAGTTGAAGTCCACCACACCTGGAGAGCCAAAGGTTCCCGACCGCTGGTGTAGACTGAACCATCAGAAAGCAAAGAGGTCACCATCTCAGTCCATTTTGGATTATTTTGGATAAGAGAAGTTCAATCTATATTAGTTTTAGGTGTAAACATATTCATTGTTAATATATGAAGCTTTAATATTATGGTCTGAAGCACTCTTGGAACTGATTTAATGCTCACTTTGTATTATAAGTTGCCAAGATTCTTATTTCTGAGGAAATACCAATGATAAGACTTCACTAATATCACTGTTCTACAAATTTTCAGTTTTTCTCAGTTGCGGAAACAAAATGTGCCATTTCTTAATAAATTTAACATGCTGAATTCAAATATAATAATTAAATGTGTTAATTGGCTCTGGTTTTTATGCAACA